ACATTCTGCTATCTGTAAGCTGAAGATGTTAAAACTTCCAATTTCATCTGCCTATGACTGATCAGACTAAATTGTACACAGTACTTTTTAATTCATCAGGAATGCAGCATCTGTTATACAAGACATCCTATCTGTGATTCCAGAGGACATAAATAGCTATCAAATTGTTAGCTCAGTCCTTCATGAATTCATCTAGTGCCTTATTAAAATCAGGTCAATTAGTGGCCATAATCACAGTTCAATTATGCACCAGACCAAGCCTTGAATCTCCTAAATATTTTATTTTAATGGATGACCTTGTGTTATAACATTCTAAGAGGAGGATACACACATCACATTTCCCTCTCTACACATGATCTATCACACATTTCCTCTTACTCATCTTATTCTCCAAGTTAAATAACCTTAGACACTGCAATTCTTCTTGACAAAAGAAATGTTATAGCCCTATGATCATTCTGATGTCTCTTTTGTGTATATTTACTAGCACTGAGATATCTCCAGCCAATTCATACGTTCCTGCCATTTACAAATAAAACTATTTATCAACATGGGCAGTGTGATCTAATGAAGCTTTACCAACTAGTACATACATGGTGTAACCACAGCTCCCAGAATTCTAGCCAAAATTAATTTAGTGCTGTCAAAGAATTTTGGAATTTTAGCCTAAGACATTAACAGGGCATCACGTTTAGAAAACTGATGTACTATGATAAGTGAAACATTTTCAAATAACCAGACTTGATAATTATTAGTAAAATCTATATGTTTTTCAAATGGCGTGGTCCTAGCCAATAAGAACCAATGCTTTCACATTAATAGAACCTTTCTCTGGCACTGAGTGTATGTGAATTCTTAAGTGACCAGGAAGCTATTCATATATTTCTGGTAAGATATAGTCATACTGTTATCAATGACAAAGGTTTCTGTGACCACTTGAAACAAATTACAAGATGATAGGTGTCAATACAGTGTATGCAACACTATACACACATATTAAAAATGTATTATAGTATATTACAACATTCATTAGCCAGATTTTACAATTATATTTTAGATAATTAGCCAGCAGACTAAGACAAGCAAGGCAACAGAAAGCATCAGGTGTTTAAAATAGTGGGTGATCGCTTTTTTCCTGACTCAGAAGTTACTATATTATTAAACTGTACTCAGAAATGTTATACTCACGTCTCATCTGAACATTCATACATGGAAACAGGGTCTTCTAATCTTTGTTTATCAAAGCACATCCAATCAATAAAGACACTGATTATATCATCATATCACATATAGTCCATCTCTAGTCTAGATTTATTTGCACTGCAAAAGTCAAATGCATACATAATTGAATTGGTGAACTATATTGATTTATTCCCACACAGAGACACAGACACCCCAATATACATGGCAAAATTCCAAAATTACATCTGCAGCATAGTTTACTAATTTGATTTACTAAAATTTGATTCACTATTTGATTTTAAGAGTCCTGAGTATAAAAACTTCCTTCTTTGATCCCCAGCATGAAAAATAGCAACCCAATCCAGATATATAGAGGAATAAAAATATTGACACAACCTTTATCTGTAGCTATGAAAACAGTATGGTTCTATAATTGATTTTCATAATATGAGCTCCACCAATAACTTGATGATTTTTTAAGAAAAAACATATTAATTCAAGTTATGTCCTTTGTCATAAAGTTAAAAAAAAGTGCTGGGATTGACTTGGCTACAAACAGTTTGAAAAAGAAAGCATTTCATTACAAAACAGATTTAAAAATCAGACATATTTTCAATAATTAGCTGTATTTTATAATAATGTCAAACTTTTCCTGCACTGTTACAACAGAACCACAGTTCTGTACAAAACCTTTTAGAAGCCAGGATACTGAGATGAAGAATTCAAGAGAACAACTAAGATTGTTCTATATACAATATATTGTATATACATTGGACTTGATGAACTAGGTATAGGAGTGGATTGCATATTACAAATATGTTACTCTTGTATTGGTTTTATTTCCAATATAAAGTAACTGATTATTCTCCTCAAGTATAATCAGAAATTTATTCAAGGAAATTTTCTATAAATCAGTTGGCTGTGATTTATAGACCAAACTTTATTAGCCATAGTTCAAGTTTGTTATACATTAGGGAAATAAACTTACTTATTTTTTTAAAAAAATCACCACAGTTTTCTATAAACTCATTTTTAAAAGCAAATTTTCTGTGTACCATTTCAGAAACATGAAGGCCTCATTCTTTGTGGACTAATCCTGATGGCATAATTACTATTAAATTTACTTGGCCTTGAGCTTTCTTCTAATGAATACAAGTTTCAAGATGTGTTTTTGTAAGCTTGAGCAACTAAAATCTCATATAAGCATTTGGTAACCAGAACAATAATTTACATTTCATACTAACTCTTTGTAGGAGATAGAAACATCAATATTGTATAATAGTATATATTATTACAAATGAAATAAGATGGAGGTTATCATTTGAAGGTAATTTAATCCACTTCTATACCTAGTTCATCAATTCCAATGAAATCAGTTTACGATTCATATATATTGAATATAGATTCATCTTAGCTCCACCTACACAACTGCTCTCTTGAATCCTTCTTCATTTCAATATACTGGTTTCTAAAAGGTTCCGTACAGTGCAGGAAAATCCTAAAGTAATTCAAGAATTAGAATATACACAGTGAAATGTGATGGAGAAAAATTTTGATGCTAGGAACATTCCTACAAAATTGCATACTAATCTTTAAGAGTTGCCATAGTGTTATTCTGACCCCTGAAGGATGGAAACAGGAGTTAATTTTCTCTGTGTTTGTGGTGTGTGTGTGTGTGTGTGTGTGTGTGTGTTCTCTTCGTTCCAATCCCTAACTTGTATTAATTCAATGTATTAGTGTTATGTGTCAGATTGTCCTAGAAAAAAAAGAAGAAAAAAAAGAAACCTAGGGAACCATTTTAAAATAAAGAAGTAGAAAAGATGTTTAAGGAATTGTGACTCCAGACTGCTAAGAAAATTTATCATTTGCAAAGTTTCTAGAATTGAATATACCATCATCCTGAGGTAGATGCTGTTTCTCAAAGTCTCTTGTGCCCCTGTTGTATATTCTTTAGTCATTCATTTTGTATAAAGGGGGACATTACAATTAGCCTACAGGAGATATGCAGGGACCTCAACTATGTTGTTAATTAACTACTTATTTCATGTAGTTTCACATTTATCAACAATTTAGGAGAGCCACCCTTATCATAATCTTATATTACAAAAGGCTCTATTTAGTAACTTAAAGACTTGACTAGTATGCTTAACCAGTAAATAAAGCTGCACAAAGCTTTTAGTTAATACCCAACCAAAGCTCTAAGGCATCTTTCTTTCCATCAAGACCAACCATGTCCTTATTCCCACAATGATCTAAGGATCCACTTTGTGCTTTTACATTTCTTTTATTTAATTATCAAATTTGTATCCCACCACATCAAATAACTCCAGGACACTTTTCTTAACTAGACTCTTGTCTGGGGGGATGTCAAGCCTTTAACTCAAAAAAAGCAGGTTACACTGATTATTCAGTTTCAGTCAACTTGAAGTCTATTGGAATGTGCGGTTCTGATGGGTCAGATTATATGTGATTGAACAATTTTATGTATTGCCCTGAGAGCAGGTGTGGTTAAGTTATATGTGTAATTTCCTATTTTTATGGCATTATCCCAGATAGAAGTTTGGTGGGAAGATAGGAGTTATTTATTTCCCTCAATATCGGATTAGCTGTGTTTGTCTTTATCAGTAGTTTTCCAAAGTTAACCCAACTAATAGGTAGAATAAAAATGTTATTTGATGCATTCAAGTTACATAATAGTTCATTGTGCTCAGCTATAGCTATCTATCTTCCTTTTCAAGCAACATATATGTTACCACCACATCCAGTAAGAGTGAACCATTAGCTGTACATGGGAGTCTACATTCTAGCACACACTCTATAAGTTTAGCATTGCAGTGCAGTGTATTGTACCACGTCATCACTATTGATTCCCACAGTCCTTCCTCTCTTCCTCTGATCAAAATGCATTTTGCAGAAAAAGGTTGAGCAATGGATATTGTTTTGCACCAAGGGAATATTGGTTATGATGTCTTTCTGATCTATCAAGGCCCTGGATACATTTGCCTCGGTAAGCTTTGGGCAAAGCTGCTGAGGTCATATCACTTTTTACTGATCTCCAGCTCCCTTGCACGTGGCTGGGTCTCAGGGTATCAAGACATAACTATTTGGGCAAGAAATGCCAATGTTTTCCCAGAAAGGGGGAATACAAAGCAACAGAGAGCCATCTGAAACATTATGTGCCTTTTTTAAAGAAAAAAAGTGTTCATTGGTCAAATTTCCCAGCAATGTCAGGCTCCATAGCAGCATTAATTTCTACTACCTCATAATGCCAATGAATCCAGATTAAGCACTTTAAACTTCTGCAACTTGATCAAAGCGAGGGCTGTCACTGTCTATTGCAGTTCTAAGATAATACTGCACAGAGCTTTGGGGGAAAATAAAATAACCCATTTTACATTAAAAAGGGTCTATCACTGAGTGCTCCTCTGACTGCTATAGATTCTGTTCTATTCCAAAATACGTCACATAGAGAAGATGGGAAGGACATGGAAGAATGTCTATCCAGACTGCAAACAGGCTGATTTTCCATCTCAGGTGATGAGTTGGCTTGCCCATGCTTTGATTTATCACAAAATGCACTCTCCAAAATACCTACTGCAGTTCTTCTACTGAACTAATAATAGTAGAGCATTCCCTCTCTCTCCCAGTGACACACACATAAACACACACACACACACATACACCAGCAAGTGAAATGCAGCAATCAGAAAGTAGCAATTCAATTACAAGCTGCCAAGTTTAGCAATATCTCTGATTAGTTTTTGCATAGGTTTGGGGAAGGGGGGGGGAAGAGGAGGAAAGAGAGAAGGTTATCTTACCCACCACAGTCTTGCAAAAATTCTTCTCCCGGTATCAGTCAGTAAGATTAGTACTGATCATCACAATACGTAGTCAGGGAACCCACGATGTTTAAGAACTCCTCTGGATTCTTTTTTTCCCCTGATGCTAACAATTAAGAAGGGAAAAGAGATGCCCATTTACAAGCGCCAAGTTCACCATCCAAGCGGATAATTCCATGTAGAGCTAAAGATCCCTTGCAAGATTTGCTTCCTACTGGTCCTCAACGTGGCCAGGTTGTTCACCGATGGTACAATCCAGGTGAGAAGCCCAAATTAAAATTAGCCGATAAGATGAAAGGCAAAAGAAGACGGAAAAGCTTGCTAGAAGCGTGTGAAGAGGACGAAAAGATCGATGAGCCAAGAAGTCTGTGAGCTGTGGGACAAGAAAGGGAGTCCTGGGTTATGAGCAGGGAGCCTTTTCAAAACCTCTCAGAACACATGTAAAAATTCCAAAGCCACCGCACAGCCATAAGAAGCCAGAATCCCGGGTATATTCACAAGTATCCTACAATAACGAATCCGACGGGGTTTTCCTTGCACTGTACTGCTATGTGGAAAGCACACAGTTCCTGCTGTTTCAGAGGATGTCTCCTGGGTCCTAAAACTCGAATGGCAGAAGGCTTCTTTCCCCCCCCCCCCAAAAAAAAAAAAACAAGAGGAAAGCAGGAGGGAGGAGAAACCCCACAGTTGTCCGTTTGCCTTGAATGATGCTAATCTTCGGTGAAAATAACAAATCAACAAACCAAAAGAGCAAGCATGAGGAAAAACGTCAATCCACTCGGAATATCCCAAGGCAGGCAACAAAGGAGGGATAAAAAGAGGGAGCAGGAGAGAACGAAAGAAGAAGACGAAGAGAAACTGCAATGCAATGCATAAATGATTCCAGTGTTTCGACAAGATTGGCTCATTTGACTGAATGCATTCCCTGCTTTGCTGCAAGTCATAAAGAAACTGTTACTGCCACCCAATGGATAGTTCAGTCCTAACCAATCCACAACAGATTGCCTCTCTGCAAAGCCTTCATAGGAAGAAGAGGCGGGGGGGGGGTGTTTGAGGAAAGGGACAGTAAAGAAAGAATCGTTACTACCCACTTGTTTCGGGGACAGATCACCATAAGAGCCCCTTTGTCCTCCGCCCCACCCTATCCCATCCCATGGAAATGAACGCCGAAGATAAAACGTCGGGAGGAAACGCTTGATGTAGAAGTTCGACATTGATCAGCCAAGCCGCCTTCCTCCAGAAATTTCTCTAGTGAAAGGTTGTTTTAAAAGCGATGATGCATTATCTATTCTTGGATTTGTGTGTTTCTGTATAAAGCAAACTGTGGGACTTGCTGTTGCCATGGGATCTTCTTTGTGTGAACTCTCTGAACTGTGTGGGAGCAAAGATTTTTTTTATATATTTAAAAAAGACCCTTTCCTTCTTTATTTTCTTTTTAAAATTAGCTCCCTCTATTTTATCCTACCCCTTTTACAAATTCTAAAAGCAGGTAACAAACTCTTGCTGCATTATTGCTAATTAAGACCTTCAGAAGCTGCAAGGTGTACCTAATTAGGATTTTAAATTACTTCACCAAAGATATACTCATTTGCAGATGTTTAAAAAGTTAAACAACTGTTCTGCTAAATTTTACACTTGAAAATTCACACCCTCCAATCCTCCACCCCCAATATCTAGATATAGATAGAAAAGCCAGGATGCTTTCTACATGAGTAAATGTGTGGGGGAAGTAGACATAAAGGAGAAAGAAAGGGAAGACTGCAGGTTTAAGCCTATTGATTTGCAAATATGTGTAATAATAATAAAAGTCAAAGGAACTTCTGGGAAATGTAATTACAATCAAATCAGAAGAATTCCTCAGTGATTCCCATTCTTCCCATCAACATGCTTTCCATTTTTATATTTTTTACAATCAGGGTTCCTGTGCTAAAAACTGGCATGAGATGCAGTGATTGAACTGATGCAGTTTTTGCCTCATACACGTAGGTTGCCATAAACTCTACATGTGGTTGGTCCATTATGTAGCAACTACAAAAATAAAGCTTTTCTCAAAATTAATGACAAGTTTTTACTTATCAAATTATTAAGATAAAGCAAGGAAATACAAGATCTCTGCTAGGAAAAAGTTATGACCTTGACATGGATTGTTCAGAAATTATCATAAGATGTTTGGAATAGAAGCATTAAGCTTCCTTGATTATATTAACAAAACTTTCTTTCTTTCTTTCTTTCTTTCTTTCTTTCTTTCTTTCTTTCTTTCTTTCTTTCTTTCTTTCTTTCTTTCTTTCTCTGTCCCTTACTCACTCACTCCCATCCTCCCTCTCTGGAAGATTGTTTCCTCTACTATAGGCCTTCCTGTATACATGAATCTTCTAAAGAAATTATTTTACAGATGTTATATGAGGGAAGGGCCTTCCTCAAACTAGTGACTTAGCTGTAGAGGTCTGGAAGGGAAGCTACGGATGGATTGGCTTCCCTTTTAGCTGAACATAAAGAAACTAAATCTACCTATTATCGAAGATTGGCATTATCAAAGATTGCCAGCCAGCTGTCTTACTGGAGGCTGGAATTTTTTTTTCCATATTCATAAACACAAATTTGGATGACAGGAAAATGAATCAAATGGGGAAAGAACAAATGAATGAAACAAGATTAGAAGAGAGGATGAGATGCAAATATCATGTGCATATAAAGTTATAGTGTGATTGTGGAGACCTCCAGTGCAAGAGCCCTTTGATCAAATTATGTTTATAGAACAGGAAAATACATCTGAAATTGTATGCAAATTTTGTTACTGGAAAGTGGTGTCAAAAACTTGATTTTAACTTGATTTGGGGGGAAAAGTGAAATTTCAGTTTAGATCATGGGTGTCAAACTCGATCGCATCACGTAACATATAGTGATGTGTCCAGTGATGGGATTCAGCCAGTTCGGACCACTTTGGCAGAACCAGTAACTAATTTTTTGTTGCCCAGGCCCAGAAAGTGGCATCTACACAGAGAACTGGTTGTTCTCATATTTGAATCCCACTACTGGATGTATCGTGACATTTTTTGCCTTTGCAGAGTCGGGGTGGGCCGCCAGTTTGACATTCCTGGTTTAGACTAAAGATTTTTCTACTCTGTAGCCTTAAATTGCTAAACTCCCATGTATCAACCAGCTAGAAATAAAGCTGGTTTAAGCCATCTTCCCAAAAAACCCAAGGAAGTCCAGTTGTTCTTTGAAAAGCGCCTTTGGGACAACCCCAGGGTTGTGTGCAATTTTACAAGCCCCATATGAGTTGACAGGGCTATGTCTTCAAACTCTTGAAAGGCCAGGAGAATGTTACTATTACTGTATTATTTCAACTAGAAATGATAGGTGATTACTATTTCATCTTTTCATTCTGTCATGAGTTCTGCTTCTGTTATCTTCTAGTATAAAGTAAAATGTTAAAGAAATTTGGTACATTAAAAATAGCATACTGTTTCAGAGCAAGAAAAAAGAAAAGAATTTTCATAAAAGTAGACCAGCAGATTTTTGTAAAGGCAGATTAATGGGAAACATGGAATGAATTTATGAACCAATGTTTTCACTTGTCATGAGCTAAAATTAGTTCCTCTCTAATAAATATGCAAGTAGTCTTGGTCATTCATCAATTTAGGCCAAGGGCTCCAATTGGCCTTTGAGAGGCAGGTCAGGGACCATACTTCGCAACAGTGTGTGGGGTTAAAATTAATTTAATTGTGCTTTCAACTCATTTATATTTAATTTTCAACTCAAATATTTCTGATATAATTATTCTCCAATCATGTATATAACTGTTTACCTTTCTGTCACATTAAAAATTACATTTCAGTATAGGTAGTCCTTAATGATGGCAATTGGTACCAGAATTTCCATCACTAAACCATATGGTCATAAAGTGTAATGTTACATACATCATTTAGTGATAGCAATCCCAGTGTACCTGTTGGCTATTCTTATGCAAGGACTATGGGTTCTTAAGTGAGGACCTTCCCACAACTTCCTGTTGGCTTTTAACAAGCAAAGTCAACGGGGAAGCTGGCAGGGAGTTGCAAGTCACAATGCAGACCACTGGGAAGGTAAGTGGCTACTATGGTATGGCATGGATGTGTCTGGGCTGGGCAGTGGCTGCTTCCAGGTGAAGGAGTGTATACAGGGAACCATCACAGGCTTGTATTTGCCTCCCCAGAAGAAAAAGCCACGAGAATACAAGCAACTTACTGGAATGACTTGTGACCTTCTCTGCCAGTTTCTCCATTGACTTTGCTTGTGGAATGCTGGCCTGGAAGTTGCAAATGATGATCATGTGATAACAACAACAGTAATAATAATAAAAAGTTGGAAAGGACCTTGGAAGTCATCTAATCCAACCCCCTGCTCAGGCAGGAAATCCTATACCAGAGGTAGGCAACTTTGGCTCTTTTATGACTCATGGACTTCAACTCCCAGAATTCCTGAGTCATGCTGACTCAGGAATTCTGGGAGTTAAAGTCCACGAGTCATAAAAGAGCCAAGGTTGCTTACCCCTGATTAATTGTTCTAACTGTCTAATTTCTCCTTAGTTCTAGGTTGCTTCTCTTTTTGTTTAGTTTCCATTGTCCTGCCTTCAGGTGCTCTGGAGAATAGCTTGACTCCCCTGAGATATTGCTTCAATCATAATGATATCCAAACCTTTAGGGAGTAAGTTCTAGTAAATTTATTAGGACTTGCTGCTAAAAAGTAGACATAGGTTAACATATCAGTTATGATAATATCAAGGAAGTTATTCCTTGTTTCTAAACTATTCTAAACTGGGATTATGCAATACATTATATTCCCTTTGAAAACATAGTGCTTCATATTGTATAGTTTAACCTGGAGAAAATGGTTGTACAAGTTTAAAACAACTTTAATAATTATTAATTTCTTTCTCTAATCAATGACTCTTGTTTCCTGACCAGCAAAGAATGGAAAATGCAAATATAGAACAAATATTCAAAATATTCAAAACTTTACTTTTCATTTAATATTCTTTTCTGGAGAGCATCATCATGGATTACAGTAATTCTGCCCTGGTTTACAGGATTCAAGAGGCATTTATAAAAGACATCAATCTGTGTCGTAAACTCCTTAAGAAGTTATGAGATGTTTTATATATTGTTAAAATGGCCTTTTTAAGAGTTCTACTTTAGGGGTTAGCATCATAAAAATAAATGGATAATGGATGGGTACATTCTGATAAACTAGGACTGGAGTCATTCTTTTCCCTGACGAAAGCTTTTTGGTTAAAATTTATATTAAAACAGGAAAGGTTTGCAAAAGATGAATTTATGGGTAAAATGGCCCTATGTGAAGAATCACAAAAGAATTAAAATGAAAAGGGCTTATAATATAATATATAATACCTATATGTTCATATCTATAGATATTGATATAGATGGATAGATATAAATATAATTATTTCATAGAACTTGCTCAATGTCTCCTGCTGTAAAGAATAGAAATAGCAGGAACAAGCCCTTGCAATATTCCAAAAATTTTCTTGTCCTGTTTTTCTTCCTGATTGTAAGGTTATTTTTGCATTCTTTCAAGTTTTCTTTGTAGTGCTTTTGAGTGTTTGAACTGGCAGAAGGTGCATCTGGTATAGGTGTTGTTTTCTTTATATATATTTCCATTCTTCTGAAGCTTCCTTGGCTGCCCACTCTTCCCAGTCTGAAAAATAGATAATGAAAAGTGAAAACCCTGGAGGCTGCAAACCCCTAAAAATAAATTAGTTCACAATGAAAGTGACACATTCATACACTGTTTTAGCCAGCCTGAAACTAGTTCAGGAATGGTACACTTCACCAGTGGATGTTCTTCTCGTTTAAGAGGGGGTTTTTTTACCCCAAACTGAATAGGATAGTAAGGAAAAAAAATATTCCTTCACTTCCCCCTTTGTACCCCTTTTAAAATTTCTTCTAAAAAGTAATC